ACTTTCCGATTACCTCAAATACATGAAGTAAATGCTTCTTTTAATCGTCCTCAATGATTTTATATCGCATTTTAAGGCCGAAGAAGTTAGCCGCTTTCAAGGGTTTCAAGCGCGCCTTTTTCTCATTCCGTGATTTGTATCTCAGCTACTACCAGAATGCATCCGATGTTCATCAGCCACCCCTGGGACATTTCTCCCTCAAAGGCATGTAACACACTTTTGATCTCCGAGTCTATCAGAATAGTCATCTTTTCAGGATGCGAAGTTAGTCCTGACGTGTCAGTTTCCCAGGGTAAATATCAGATCAAATTGTTGGTACCCACTGCCGAGGGAATGACTGAATTTGTGCTTAAATGTGATACGGTAAGGAATGGCTGTTTTCCAGCTGAAGCTAATTTTTATGTGCTCGTTTTCCACACAATCTGGTTTTCATATAGTGTTCTCTGAAGTTTGAAGAGAACTGCTTTTATGTAGTAACTCTATTGCAAAGAATTTATAGGCTTGGCTCCACATGTGACAAGCCATGAAGCACCGCATACCCAGTTACTACACTACTTTTATCGCGGTTATATTTTCAGGAGCTTCAATATGCTAAGTGGATGGCCGCATGTCGCTTAGCATCTCGTGGAAAGTCAATGGCTGATTCATCTTATCCACAGGAGGTTGAGAGCATCAAAAACCTTTTACATATGCAGAGTACCAGTAAGTTTGCTTTTGGCTTCATCGGTGCATTGTTTCATTCATGTTTTCCGATTGGAATCTATACTCTTTTGTCTTTCCATTGGAATTTTCTCTATAAATGTTCTTGTGTTCTTATGTTCTCTTTATATATGTTCTGTCTTAATCAGCCAATGGCCGTAACGAAAACACCACGACGCGCCGAGCTGCACCAGTCAAACTTCCAAACGATTTTAATGTAGACGAGTACGTTTCGCAAAGATATGTACGGAAAGCCAGAAGTAAACAGGCGGTTAGTGTTTTTATTTTGCTTCGTTACCTCTTCATCCCGGATAGATACATAATACAGCTTCAACAACGTGTCGCGGATGCACATGCGAATGTTCGGCAGCTAACATCTACGGAAGCGAAGCTGCAATACATAAGGGCATGGCAAGCACTTCCTGAACATGGAATGCATTACTTCATAGTACGCTTCAGAAACGGCCGGAAAGCAGATTTGATTGGTAAGTTACCGTGAGTGGTGTGGAAGAACCATTATACAAAGAGTTTCAGGAGTTGCGGTCAATCGATTAGTGAAGATGAACATGG